ATCAGTTGCTGGATGAAGCCTCTCTGATGACAACTGGGCTAGGCGCCAATCTATGAGTACAGATGAATATCATTAGCAGTCATTTCACTGACATTTTTTTTTTCTTGGCAGCCATCAGCCGTTCGTAGCACCTCAGCTTAGGATGAGGCTCGAAAGCCCTCGTCGCAGCTACGCTGGCATGTTGATTGGCTTGAGCTTGTGCAGGCACCTACAGCTTTTGTGAGCTCATGAGGACAGTGGTCTTCTCCTGTTCAGAGACACTGTTTTGCCACACTCTTCCCCAATCTCTGGCTCTTAGAATGTTTCTATTATGTTTCTCAACCCTTGGGTGGGAGGGCCACAATATAGATGCCCCACGTATGGCTAAGCACTCCACAGGTACGTGTTCTCCACACCTGGACCACTGGCCAGCTGACTTTGTGAGTAAATATCATGAGATGCCAGCTACCAGCTAATAACAATCTGAACAAGTTCAGTCCTGCTCCAGCATTCGTTTGGCCTTCTTCACTTGGTGTACATTGACCACAACATTGCATGTGCTGGTCTGTAATCTGAAGACATTAGGAAACAATTGGAAGAGGCACAGGAAGAAAGTATTGATCTATTGTTTCTCTGCAGTGCTGAACATTTTAAGCATTTAATATTTTTCTAAGTATATAAATCTAATATCTATCTTATCTGTCTGTATCTCACCAAATATAATCTGACAAACTAGTGTGGACTTCTCCCACACAGTGTAATCACCATACTAAAAACACAAACAGAGGCTTATCTGAAGGGTGATCAATACTGGTATGAAAATTGAGGGCTAGGCGATTAATCCAGAGGGGGGTGAGTTGACAGAGGACTTCAGCCAGTGTTTACAAAAGCCATTTGCTCAAGTTTTACCAGGTAATAATTGTGCATGACTATTTATTAAGAATCCTCCAGATGAGCCCATTCCCTGTGGTGGAAAACCTTGCTCAGCCTTGATAGAGAGGGGAGGGACTTGGTCCTGCCTCAACTTGTTATGCTTGTTGATTCTCTAAGGGAAAACCTTACCTCCTCTGAGTAGATAGGAGGTGTGAAGGGGGAGAGTTGTGGGGTGGGGGGGGAACAGGAGAAGGAGAGAGAGGAGGAGCTGGGGTTGGTAAGTAAAATGAAAAATAATTTTTTAAAATAAAAAAGTTAAATAAGGAAAAAAATCCTCCAGTGAAGGCTCCACCCCAGGAGGTTGGGGCAGGGCTGGGGTCTGAGGACCTGAAGTGGCAGCATGTGGCCAGTTTCCAACATCTCAGAAGAGCCTGTGGGGAGTGGAGTGGTATAGCATAGTATCCACAGGATCCCTGGAGAAAGAAGACTAAGTACTGCCCTGCATAGAGGCCCCTCCCCCTCGAAACAGGTGCTTGCAATAACTTCTCTGAGAGGAAAGGAGGAAGCTTGGCCTCAGGACCATCACTTTCATCATCTAGATGTCCACTTCTTCCCAATCATGCTGCCTGATGTGTCTAGCTCAGAGTTGCCTGGGTAATCCAATTCATGGAGAGGGACACTGTGATTTCCTTATCTGGTTGAAGAATACAGGACCTGAAAGGTTAAGTCCTCTGAGATCCCAAGCCTTAGAAGTAGGGGTCAAAATTTGAACCCACACACCTCTAGCCACAGAGCTTTCCATGTAGCAGGTGCTCCTGGGAGATTTTAGAAAACAAGTAATTCAGACTGAGGCAACACCTAGGTGCTAATGGGTAACGCAGAATCGCAGCCCACCCCTGAGCCGGGTTGCATCCACATCTGTTGATTTCTGCACACCCTAAAGTTCAGAATCACTTTGATAGATGACTGGAATATGACATGACAGATGGACATGTGCTTATGGCAGCCAGACAGGAACCCACATAATGCAGCCAGCCATGAGAACCTGGTGGGGTGGGCAGGGGTGGGAGTGAACAAGGAAGTGTGCACAAGGAAACTATCCAAGGCTAGTATGGCAGGACGGCTCAGTAACTGCTGTCTGAAATCACTTTGCCAGGGAACCTCCCCTCATGAGAAAACGCTAAACCCTCCAAGAGAAAAGTTCTTGTGTGGATATATTTACCTCCAGATGATAATATGGTTCATTTTCTTTGTTTCTTTTTGTTTGCTTGCTTGTTTCCCTCCTCCTCCTCTTCCTCCTCCTCTTTATTTTAATGAGAGAAGGACAAGTCTGGAAGAAATTATTTATCAAAACTGCCATGCCCCAGCAGTTTCCCATCAGGTCCCTCCACTCCTGCCGCCCTTGGAGGGTACACATCTTGTTTACCTCCAGAGTGAGTCCTTTTGTTTCTGCATGGAGCATAGATAGCATCCGCGAGTTAGGTGAGAGAAGGTTCAGTTTGCAGAGCATTTTCCTTGAGAGTGTTGTCCTTGAGTTAAATCCTCTTCGAGTCCATTCCAGCTGCCATGGCAAAATACCATGAGCTATATTGTAACAACGGTTCATTTTTGTCAGTTCTGGAGTCTGGAAAGTGGAAAAAGTCAAGGGCCTGCTTTCTGGCTCACAGATGAAGGTACCACAGTGCATCCTCCCACATTTGGAAGGCATCCACTAACATTCCTATAAAGGCAGTAGTCACAAAGGCTCCGCCCTCATGAACTAGTCACCTCCCCCAAACCCCACACTCCTAATGTTGCCCTTGACTAGGATCTCAGCATACGAATGTGGTAAAAAGTATATAAGATATAAACATCTACACAACAGCAGATCCTAAACTCTTCAAGAATGCTGCACAAGTGGGAATGTCTGAACTAAAGTCTAGGCACACTTATTCATTAGTATGTTGAGAAGTGCAGAAAGGCACCCATTCACCACTCAGCAGCAGTGATTACTTTCCTTGGGGTGAGGTACCCAGTGGAATTTGACTGTAGAGGAGGCTGCTGAACCTTGTCTTCCCTGTCCTTCCCCAAATAACACTGTTGAGGCTATGCAACACTCCCAATCATGGTAACCTGTGTTTTCATGCCCCAACATGGTGACTTATATAAACTTCACTATTAGCTCTTGTGAGTCACTTTTCTGAGAGCCATGTGTACTGGCTCTCAGCTAGTTTTATATCCACTTGACACAAGCTAGAGTCATCTTAAATGAAAAAAACCTCAATTGAGGAAAGTGCCTCCATAGGATCTGTCTGTAAGGCATTTTCTTGATTTGTGATTGGTGGGGGGAGGGTTCAGCCCACTGTAGGTAGTACCATCCCAGGGTTGGTGGTCCTGGGTGCTATGAGAAAGCAGGCTGAGCAAGCCATGAAGAGCAAGCCACTAAGAAACATCCCTTCCATGTCCTCTGCACCAGCTCCTGCCTGCAGATCCCACCGTGCTTGACTTCCTGTCCTCACTAGTTTTGATGATGAACTGTTAATTAGAACTGTTAGTGGAATAAAACTCATTCCTTCCAAAGTTTCTTTTGGTTATGGTGTTTATCACAGCATTACAACAATGCCTAAGACAAATTGGTATCAGGAGTGGGATATTGCTGTGACAGACCTTACCACGGTGACTTGAGGGGGGGTATTTTGTTTGTGTTCTGACAAATAAAGTTTTCCTGGAAATCAGAGGGTGGAACTAGCCACTAGTTAACCATAGAGGTCTGGAGGTCTATATAGAGTAGAGACAGGAAGTGGCAACATGGAGCAGAGTCAGGAAGTGTGAGGGCTGGGCATAGACAGGATCTTGGTCCCTTCACTCTCAGGATCCAGAGAGGTAAGAGGTGACTGTAGCTGCTCCTTTGCTTCTATGATCTTTCAGCATTTACCCTGATATATGACTCTTGGTTTTTATTGATAATATTAAGATCATACTTCAGGAGGAATTGTGGAAAGACTTTGGAACTTTGGGCTAGAAAAGTCACTGAGTGCTGAGAGCTCAGTGAGGTATTTGTCAGAAGCTTGGAAGGTAATATTCTTGAGAGCAGTACAGAAAGTTTGGAAAGTTTCAGAGGAAGGACCCAATTCCTGAGTCAAGATACCATTTGTCACCACTGTGCCAAGTGTAAGCTATATCCCTGCTCCAAAGAGTAAGTTAGGAGAATATCAAACACAATTATTCACTGCCTTCTAAGAAGTTGCAGACTAAGGGAGAGACACTGATGGGTAAAATTATGTCCTGTTCACATATGTCATTCACATGTAGCTTCTCACATCTACTAAATCAAAGCATATAGTAATAAACATATTTAGGAGCCTAGAGGCTGTCATTGCAACTTTGGATTATTTTCTACACCTAACCTCCTCCACTTGAACAAACACACACATTTTTTCCTATATTGGCTTCATTTTAAAGTGACCAAAACAGACCTGGCTAAAGTGACATCTTCCCATGACTTTTGTTGTTGTTGTTGTTTTGCTTTTTAAATGTCTGGATGAACAGCATTTGGGTCAGGATGCTTTCACCTTGTCTTCATCCTGTTTACAATTTTTGGACTTATGTGAATTGAAGCCTTGCCTGTGTGTGTGTTTAGAGAGGTGAACTTTAACTCCAGAAGTGATTGCAGCTTAACTGAGAACAGTTCTTTTTTTTTTTTTTTAAATTATTTTATTTTATCTGAGAACAGTTCTAGAGGGTGAATTTGGGGCTTTTCCTTCACCTTCTTTACCATAACTGGCTTCAGAGTTGAGACAGAAAGAGAGAAAGAGAGAGAGAGAAAGAGAAAGAGAAAGAGAGAGAGAGAGAGAGAGAGAGAGAGAGAGAGAGAGAGTATTAAGTGTGTACAGAGGATGGAAATAAAAGAGAAAAGTAAGTTGAGTCAGATCCAAACCAGACTGTAAAGCAACTCTGGCTTCCTTTCTCCCACTCTGTTTGCTCACTGAGGCCTTCCATTACGGAGATAAACTAGGTTGGTTTGCTATTGACAGTCGGGCAATCTACACAATAAAGCTTAACAGTTTCCATCCCCTATACCATTTCATTAATGTTTTCAATGGATCACCTTCCTGTTGGGTCCTCATACTACCACTTACTCCTTTCCCTTTTCTTTTCTTTCCCTTAAGCGTGCAAACGCAAAGAGCAAGAACCTAACAAAGACAGGAACAACTCCCAGAAGAAATCCCGCCTGGTATTCACAGACCTCCAACGACGAACGCTCTTTGCCATCTTCAAAGAGAACAAGCGCCCTTCGAAAGAAATGCAGATCACCATCTCCCAGCAACTTGGCCTGGAGCTGACCACTGTCAGTAACTTCTTCATGAATGCCCGGCGCCGCAGCCTGGAGAAATGGCAAGATGACCTAAGCACGGGGGGCTCGTCATCCACCTCCAGCACTTGTACCAAAGCATAATTCAAAGACTCTCACCTGGGCACAAGTCACCTCCAAATGAGGACAAAAGATACCAAAAAAAGCAAAACAAAACAAAGATACAACAAAGACATCAGAGTCTTAGCTGGGGCCCTTCACTGGTGACTTGAAAGCACAATTCTCTTGAAACTTCTATTCTAGCTGTAATCATAGGCCAGGTGTTCATTTTGTTTGCTTTTGTTTTAAATGGCTATGGAGTCCAAGTGCACGCTGAAAATTAATTTCTTTGAACCAGACAGTAGCCTCTGAGCACGCTAGGCAACCCAGAAATCCAAATGGGGCCTTCTTGGAGTGAGTGAATTAGAGCATAGTGTCAACCAAGCTCAGTATTGCTGTAAGAGTCAACAATCCCACTCAGGCCCAGTCACCCTCTTGAATTTATTGCCCATGAGTGATAATGGGAATTTGGCCTGAGTAAAGACATGCAGTTTAGGATTCCAAGGTACTATGTTATGAAAAGAATTTAACAACTAGGAAGACCTCATTTGTTTCCCAAGTGCTTAGCTTCTTTATATCACAATACGCTAAAATTCTCAGCCATAACATTACAAAAAAAAAAAAAAAAAAGTCAGAATGGTAATTACTGAGCACAAGTTTTAAATATGAAAATCAATAAAAATCCAAGGACCTGGTTTTTTCCAACTCAGGCATCTTCTCACTGGATAGTTTAGAAAGCTTTACATTGATTTCAGTTTACAATTTTCCTTTTCCTTACCTCCTGGAAATTTCATACGGTCTTTTGGATCCGTTGGGGGAAAAAAAATCAGTTCACTTGAGCTCAAAGTATCAAGCACAACGAAGATAAAACAGAAATAAGGAAGGTTCTGGTTTCAATGCATCCTGTTTGACAAGGCGGTTTACATCTGCCTTTACTGTTGAGAAGTCATTAGGGAATCATTGGGAATATGGCTTCAAGCACATTTTGCAGTTTGTTACAAATTCTGTTTGTACACAATGCAGATACACACTCAGGAGGCCAACTTAACTGTTACAGTACAGGAGCAAACACATCATCTAAAAATATCTAGATTTTTTTTTTTTTAGATCATTACCATGTCCTTGATTTACTAGCCACCCAGTTCCTCCTAAGTGCATTAGGGCTACCATTGAGTTCATACTCACTCTTGCTGATTTGTGTTGTTCCTCTGACGTCCCATTAGTTGGGGTGTTTCTATTGTTTTTTAGAAAGAAAGAGTTTAATAAGCCACATCCTGTTGCCTCTTCCTAACTCTCTTTCATCCTTGACTCATCCTTGTAAAACAGCCGACTGAATCTGGAAAGAACACAGCACACCAAAGAAGCAGAGAATACTGCAAACCAAAGACATTTATTACCTGCCATTTTCTAGCCTACAAATACTGTGATTACTTTTAGAGATCAGAACACCTCTGTAACTCTGAGTGGCATTCGGCTCTTGTCATGGGCTCACCATCTGGCTGAGCAAACCAGCTATGTCAATGACATTCGCCGAGCATCCAGGCAGTGGCTTCATCATGCCAGCTCTGGTTGTCACTTTCCCATAGCGAGTGGAAGAGGGCCCACAGAACTCTGGGAGATTACAAAGGTCACTATGTGCATACTTACCAGTGAATGGCCCCAGGTGGGCACCATGGGGTGTTCAAAGCAAGCCAAACACTGCAATGATTCTTTACAGACACTTAAGACTGACTTTTGTATGAATTACTTATTTGAAACCAAAGAAACTTTTTCTGCACCTACTTCTGCAACAAACAGAACTGTCCCATTAACTGAATAAATGATTCCACCAATCACTGGAAATCACCACCAACAAGAAAAGTACGCTAGAATAAAAACACCGAAGACACACTGTGTTCAAACAGACCTCTTGGGACTTCTTTTTTGTTTGGTTGGTTTTTTTGTTTTTTTGTTTTTTTTTTTTTTTGGAAGCAGATTTGAAAGAAAGGGTTGAGACAAGAATCAAAATCCAGAAAAGCCTCCATGGCTGCTGCTTCATTTGACAACTTGGTAATCTTAAAGTTGAAGATTGTCTTTAATTTGTGCCTATGCAGTTTTTCAAAAGAACATGGAACAGAGCAACAGAAACCTCAACAGCTACAATACCAAAGATGAGGATTCTCACACCTTTTGTCTCAGTTCATTACCTTCTTTTACCTGGCTAAAATACTTATAGCGCCGTTGATCTGTACAAAGGTAATTGATTTTGTTTCTTTGAGCAACAAAAGGAAAGGGCCATTTGTTTGATTTTTATTGCTTCCCTTTAGTTTTGTTTTATGGCTTCTTACTACTCAACATGGAATCCCCCAAAGGTTCCATGAACTTCAAATTTGAGATGTTGGGATACTGAACGATGTTCCCCTCTCTCTTCAGCAGAGTATGGGAAATACTATTATTGTCACTTGAATGTTCCTTGCTTAACCCTTAGAGTTGGTTGCTTCTGTGTTCAGAGTCTCATCATTAGGGGAGGGGAGGAGAGCAAGGGTCAGGGGTAGGAGTCTGGGTGATAAGTCTTCTCCAGAGCCACAGAACCAAAGAATTTATAGAGAAATTTACAACCTCATCTTCACGTGATTGCCACATAGTAACAGGGCTTCATTTGGGGGTGGGGAACATGTAAAAAAAAATTGACAGTTTCTACTTTTCTATTAGCTTTTTAAAGAAAAAAATCAGCTGTAAAGTTGCATTTCTAAAGAAAGATATAAATATATATATATATTAAATGTATGAGTACATATATAGACCAACCTGCATTGGTGACAACCCAAAAATTTTGCTGTCCAAATTCGTGCCATCTTTTGTCATCTGCTTCATTCACTGAGTATTCGGTTCACAACTGTTCTCATTTCTCATATCATTTCAGAGTTAATTTGACATTAGCTTGTCTGGCAGTATTCACATTTCTGTGTTAATTTATGGAAAAGGTTAGACATTTCTACATGTAATCTGTTGATGAATGGAGTCATGATATAAATGGGTTTTATTTGTATTTAGTCATCTCTATTCTATGTCTCAACCATGATAAGCAAGGTTTCGCCACCAGATTAACTCAGAGCCAATGCTGGTGGCAATGCTGAATTCATCTTCTATCATGGCCAGGAATACTTAGTGCTCCATTCCTGTTTGCTTAGAATAGAGCACCCGGAAATCCACTTTTCAGTAGATGCCCTATCCATCAGGATAGTCTAGATTCTTCTAAGTGAGCAGACCCACCAAGGACTTGTCATGGGGAAGTCTAGCTCCTATTGCAATAGGTTGATCAGGTGTCCTCAGGGTAGCAATTACCAATTTGTATTGACAAGCTTGAGTGCAATCATAGCTGCCACTGAGGTGGAACAGGGTTGATGGGGGCACATAGCTCAATCCTGGAGAGCCACACCATTCCTTGTACTATCTTTTAACTTGCCCAATGTGTGTTATCCTATATAGGGGGTATCATTTCTAGACCAATGTGGACTATCCTGTGTATGGGGCATCATTTCTAGACCAATGTGGGCTATCCTGTGTATGGGGCATCATTTCTAGACCAATGTGGGCTATCCTGTGTATGGGGCATCATTTCTAGAGCTGAGAGAATGTGGCTCTGTATCATTCTGTAATCTGTCCTGCCTAGGAGTGGTTTTCACTTTTCCCTTGTTTCCCTTTGTCCCGTGCTTATAATCCATGGACCCTTGGTCAAATGACCAAGAGAAAGGCATATTTCCTGCAGAGATTGCTCCCATTTTATCTTGGTCAGATGAATTTTAACTCGGGCAAACACTAAATGTGTCCTTGTGACTTGTGGCCAATGGGAATGGTGCTTCTGCTTCAATATAGGCTGAGGAACCAAGTGTCTTGTTTTGGTTGGTGACAGACACACTAATTAACAGCATTTGGGTCTCTACATCCTTGGAAGATGATGGCATGAAGAAAAAAAGGCAAGAATTTCCCTCCAGAACTCTTGATAAATGTCTCACATATCTCGGATCATATCAAAGAGAATGCTTGCTTTAAAAAAAGTTACTTATACATACACATATATATGTACATGTGTCTATACACATGTGTGTCAAAATGTTGAGCCGTACAAAGTATCATTTTGCTATATATCTGAAAGAAAAATGTGTTATACTGAAAGGTATAGAATTTAATTCAGGGTTTTTTTTTCCCAAAGCGTTTACATTTTTATTTTAAATTAATACTTTCAGATAAAATAACCATTTGGACTTGAATATAGCCTAGAGTCCATCCAAGAAAAGTTCCAGGCTGTCTCAGCCATCAGCAACAGTTGGGCACTATGAAGTGATAGTTTACAACCCTATTTCACATTCTTGGGGTGACAGAAATCCAAATGCTCAAAACTACTGAGTGAAAGGTGTTTTTCTTTAAGCCTTTGCATAACTAAGTTTTTGTTTTCAGTGTGATTTCAATAATGGAAATTCAATTCATTCATTCCCAGAATTCTTCTAAAGGAGAGTCAATATATTTCTTTTTTTAAAGGACAACAACAATAATAAAAATTCTATTTCAGTATTTAAAAGCTTTCCCCATGATGTAGAGCATTTAGTTTGTGCCACATAGTAGTACAAGCTAGTCTTACCCAGAAGGAATGATCAGAATTGCATACACAGCTCCTGTTTTTCTAAAGGCTCTTAGCTTCTGCTTTGAAAATCCAATCTCATTGCCACTTCAACTAAAGCAAAAGAAAAACTAGGAAGTTAAACCAACAGACAAGCAGACAGACAGACTCTTTCTCTCTCTTTCTCTCTCTCTCTCTATCTATTTTTCTCTCTCTTCAAGACAAGCAGTTAGTTTCAAAACCAAACATTAATAATTTAATTTTAAATAATCAGATACTTTCTATGTTGGGCATCCATACTTAGTGCCAGTAAATTAAAATTGAATAGATTTTTTTTAAACAAGTAGTCACTATTTGCACTATTTGGTAAGTACAGAGAGCAACTATCCCATTCTCAAAAATATATAGGGATGTATCTGTTAGCTTGATACTATCAAAATATCATGGAAATACATGTCTGAAGGAGATGGGTCTTCAGGAGTTTGTCTAATTGAAAATTTTCAAAATCTACAAATAGACTAAG